GCATTCATCAAAGGCAACCATTTTAAATTCACGCCAGGCGCGAGGTTACTTGCGTCGGGCACGAATTTATATGGGAGTCTCTGGATAAGTCATGTCGGACGTGAAGAGAACCATGTTGGGCGCGATATCAGATAATGACCCTGTTTGGCATTTTACTGATATGGCGCCAGGCATAGGGTGAGTGCGCCGGGCGCGAAGAACTCTAAAAGTCTCTGTTTGGATGACACCGGGCGCATGGTGGCTGCACCAGGCGTGGAGAATCCTATGAGTCTTTGTCTCAAGTGGGAACCTCACGCCGGGCGTGGATAGAACTCTCGAGTTGGGATTAGGCCAAGCTCGAGCTGGCTGCGCCGGGCGTGAGTGTGTTTAATGCTGTTAATTGTGAATGATGCTTATGCATGTTTAAAGTTGAAGATTTGATCATGTATGTATGATATATGATGTATGGTGGTGTATGATTCATATGTATGCTTGCTAATGGTATGTATGAATGTTTAAATATGATATGACATGAATATATGTTCATATGAGTATTATTATTGATCATGATGGTGGATTGACCATGTATGATGTATGATGCATTATTACATGTGATGCCTTATGGCATGTGTCTAGCTTAGGACTTGAGGAGAGGGAAAATGTTTTCGAACTGGAAGAGCTCACATAGAGTCTCTTAAGAGTGGTGCTTGGATAGGCTACTGATATAAATGAGAGTGGTGCTTAGATAGGGCACTTTGGGGTGAGAGTGGTGCTTGGATGGGCCACTGGTTTGGGTGAGTCTCCTCTAAGTCCTTAGCTAGTGTTGGAGCTGGGTATGAGGTTGAGGATTATTCCCTTAACCAAGTACTAGGAAAGGTACGTGGTTCCTTATGGATAGTCGGTGGGCGAACTCCACAAGTGACTTGGTAATGCATGCCAAGGTCGTGGTACGCCTGTATCCAGTTGTGCTATACCTGACGATGAAATCGGACTTCTAAGTGTGTAAGTGACATCATTCAAGTAAACCCGAGTAAGAATTTATATCTTGTTTAGCTGTGACCGAGCGGGCGCATTGGGCGTGAAAACAGTTGGGGTGGTTTTAGTAGGATTGAGATGTCACTTACATTGCTCTGCTGTTAGGGAGATCTCCTAGGTGTATGCATGACGACGCATTAGATGATAGATATGCATTTGATATCTTTCATGTGTTTCTTAATTGCATGATTGTTGTTATGATGAAGTGTATGGTGTTTGACTTCATGATTTGATGATTTGATAGTTGAGTAGCATAGATATTTATTATTATGTTTGTATGGTTGTTTATTGAACTCTAGCTTACCTTTCTGTTTCCATGTTGATGGACTGCAATGATCATACTGTGTATGGAAGTAGGTCAGGGTTAGGTTGGAGCTGGTTGCTGTGATCGCTGCGAGACGGAGAATTTTGTCCTCGTGTTAGAATTACCATTTTGGATAACTGTTTTGTTGTGCTTGACTGGTATTAGAGTTATGTTATTTGGATGACTATACATATTTAGTGTTGTATTTTGTACATAGAAACACAGTTTTATTATTATATATAAATATATCTGTATGTATGAGTTATCCAATTTTAATATTTCTCTTAGTTCAATAGTAGTAGTGCAATTCCACTAAGTGTAGAGACTTTAGCGGGTCGTTACAATTATTATAATTATATATAGAATATAATGTTGAATACAATTTTTATATCTAATATATATGATAATATTTTATATTTTACTATATACGTAAATGATATAATATATTGTTATATTATATACATATTATATTAAATTATATATCTTTTTATAAAGAGGTATGACTTAGTAATCACTTTTTTCGTTTTTACCTTTTAATCAGATAGTTTTACTGCTAAATTTATAATTGTCGCCCCTGGTAATGAAAAAAAAATAAATAATAGGTTATCTATTTTAAAATTTTAATATTTTTAATATTTATTTTTTTAAAAAAATTCTTCAAAAATAAATATATAAAAATACAAAATGTCCTTCTCCTATTTATAAATTATTATAGGTCCTTATATAAACATAAATCTCTATCTTGTATAAGATTATTTTTAGATTTTTTAATAAAATAATTTTTTAGAGATTTTTTTTTAATTTTTAATCTAATTTGATTTTCTTATTATAATTATTTATAAATTAAATTTTAATATTTTTAAAATAAACTATTAATAAATAAAAATAATACTATACTATAATATAAATTGTTTATTATAAATTCAAATATAATTTATATATTTTAAATATTTATTGGTATTAATTTTAAACATAATTTATAATTTCAAACATAATATTTATTTGCATATAATTTACTATAATTTTGATAGATAAAATAAATTTGTATAACTATTCATAAATTGCTCTTCTCAATTTCTACTTTGTCTCTATTTTGGACACTAATAATAATATTTATAAAATTATCATTATAAATTAATTTTCAAATTTTACATTCTATTTAAGTGAACGTGAATCTATCTTTCCTCTTACTTTATGTTTCTATCTTGAAAAGTAGAACAATTGAAAGATATTGAAACACTAAAACAAACACGCTCTTCATCTTTCATTTTTACCATCATTAACCATCTTCATCGTCAAGACATATATCAAATGCTGAAACACCTTTGAATGAATAAAGGTTTGAAGAAAGAGGAAAATGTTTGTAAACAAAATAATAGTAGCTTAGAAAACTAAATCGAATAAAAAAAAATATTGATATAAAAATAACATTTTTTTTATGAATAAAAATTATAATTTAACTTCAACCAACTCTTATATATTAAATATGAATATATATATTTTACGCAAAAATATTTTTAGGAGTTTTTATTTCAATAAAATAACTTTTAGAGTTTTTTTTTAACTTTTTGTCTAATTTAATTTTTATTGATCATAATTATTTATTAATTTAAAATTAATATTTTAAAAATAAATTATTAATAAATAAAAATAAATTTATGTTACAATATAATTTATTTATAAAAAAAATAATT